ATATCATTTTTTTTTCAACTCATCTGGCTGATTAGAAAGTAATATACCATATCTATCACCACTCTGCTGGTGCTTTGAGACACCACTTAAGATAAGGTTGCAGAGAGAGAATTTGTGCTAGAAATAATGAAAAAAATACTGGGTACTGAAATAGTGACAACTGCCTATCTGAATATAATATTTTTCATAAATACATAGCAGCTGCTTTTTTCTTACTAATAATAATAAAAAAAAGATTATTGTAATTATAAGATTAATTATCATTTCCTTTATAAAGTTGGTAAATAAGTGTTTTAAATTGACTTTTTAATGTTGTTTAAACCACTACAGTGCTTTTAATTATGACCAACATCCTCTGAGCTATAGGCCTGAGTAAAACAAAACACTTAATGTACTCCTCAGTAACAGATGTATGGGTAAAATTATAATCTGAAACAGAAAAATATTTTGCAGCCGCAAAGAGAGTAATCCCTCTAGTGCAATTTTACCCTTACCTTCTGCACACCTGTGATCGATTTAAAAAAATATTATTTATTAATAATCTCTTGTAGGTATAATTTTCTTGCAAATCTTCATTTAGATAGAAAGAAATATCAAAATGACTGATGAAAGTTCAAAAGAACAGAATGTCCATGCAGTTTTCTCATGTGATCCATACAATGGCAATGTAACTTAAGAAGTGCGGGAGGTCCCGCCTCTCTCTCTGCTGCTGACTGGGCAGCTGTGGCAGATGTGACTGCAGCAGGAGAGAATAAGTTGTTTCTTTATAAAAAAAAAAATAAGCAGGGTTGGCTTAGGTTGTACTGCACAGGATGGCACTACATCAAGTTAACAGTTATTTTCACATCCTGTTCAGTGAGGCAGTTGGAGCATTCTTTTGATCTGAATAAATTTCATTTAGAAAGCACTGAAGTAGAAAAAAAAAGTCACACTCATGAGTGAATTGTAAGGCAAGAGCCATGCTGAGCCAAATCTAAATGCAACCTATCTGACCTGTACGTTAAAACTTTGTGCAATTCTGTGTTAATAGAGTCATTGCCAGGCTTTGTCGTCTAAATTTGGTGTTCATCTATTCAAATGTGGGTTGAATTGTTTGTTCTTTGGCTTTGTTCCAAGTGTTTCCTAGAGGGGGCTACCAGTCTGGTTATCCGGTTGCCATTCTTTAGTTGTTGTTCCAATGAGTTGCTATTTGAATCCACTATTGAGGTTATCTCAGTGTTTTGAGATGCAGGTAAGTTCAGCACTGACAGGGTGGTATAATTTCCATAACCAGCATTTACTTCTACATTCACTTCCCGCCTGTCGTGATCTTGATCCTGGTTTGTTTCTGCTCCCGGACTTCTGAACCTGCCTGCTCCTGTTCTGATCTGTTTGCCTGACCTGTCTTCGGACTCCTGTTGGATTCTGCCTGCTTACAACCTTGGACCTGTCTCCTGACCGACGTATATCTTCAGATCTCTGATCTTCTGGCCTGGACTTTTGCTACCTCATCGACCCTGGTTTTGGCTTCTCCTTCTGGAAACTCCTACTCTTCCTTGTCTGCTTGCTTCTGTTCGTCAGCTGGCTCAGCAGCCCTCTTGGCCTCGAATGGAAAATCATCGGGCTGGATTCCACTCCAGAAAATGTGTGTTATGTCAGTTTGGTTATGCTTCAGGAATGTGATCCAAAGATGCCCCTAAAAGTTTTTTCTAAAAGAACACTTAGCTGATTCATCACAAAAGCACTGTTGTGTTATATCAGCATTTGGGTGAGCCCATTTTGATTTCCAAATAAAGAGGAAAATTGGCTTTGCCTAAAGATACATAAATGATACTCAAAGTTTGCCAAAGTACTTCCTTATTTTTAAACATATAATTAAATCCTCCTCAGTGACATTATAAAAGTAAGTTAAAGAACCAAATGCAATCCCTCTCTATAAATTTCTCAGAAGTTATTAAACATGCTTTGTTTGATCTAAAATAATATCTTTGACAAATGTTAATGGTTTAAAAATAAACAAAATTTGCAAAAATCTGGAAAGAAATATTTATATAGATTATGATATTTCTGTATCTTCCAATTTAGGGTAATCATTTTTTCCCCCTGTAATTAATCTATCAGCCATTTGAACTATTTACGGATTTAGTTAATTTGTAATTGTCTGTAAAATAAAATACACAAAAACTACTTGATACTTTTTGTCTGTTGGGGGCTCTAATCAGTAATATCTTCTGCTATTGAGTCATATTATTTACACACGCATTAGCGTGAGGGGTTGAGCGCAGCAGGAGGATCCCATGCCAATGCTGCCCTCATTGGTAAAACCATCTTGGGCAGCTGTCTAAGTCTCCCTTAAAAGAAACCACCACTGATTACAGCTAAACTGCTCTGTTCTAAGCTCAAACCATTTTCCAACCCTTAAAAATGTTTCCAGTGTGGCATTCTACAAAGAGCAATTGTCAGTATTTCTCACTCTAACTCTGTCAGTTAATGTAATTTCTTAAATGTATGTCTCAGGTAGCCATAGCTAGTATAACCAGATAATGGGTATGGGACCCAAATTTTTTTTACACAGAAGATATTTTAATTTTTAAATCAAGTCATCATTTGAAAGCTTGATCTTGTATTTACTGGGGGGTTTTTTCTGATACTGAGAGATCTGACTTATTTAAGCACAGAAATGTTGAAGGTAGAAAGCTCTTGTATATGTTTTTTTTTCCATTATAAGGTTTTGAAGAACCTTACAATGTATTGTCAATCCTTTTTTAAAGTTTCCATTAAAAAGCTGTGTACTACTTCTGCATTTCCTTTCAGCAAAGGCTCTCCTCTTGTCAGAAAAGTTTTTAACAATTACTAATCTGTTTTGAAAATCAATATGCAGGCCAATTGTGGTTTATCCATGCCAGTGCTGTCATGTTTAGTAACCAAAAATACACCTCTTAAATCATCCACTTTCTATATTTATACAAATATAACCACAGTATAACCACAATTTGGATGTGTATAAAAGAAAAAGTGACTAAGACAAATGTTCAGATATTCATGACTTCATAACCAGATGGGGATCTGATTGAACTTACAGATAAGGTCACACATAATGATTAATGTCAAAAGCCTGAACACAGTGCCAATAACAAGAGACACAGCTATAATTAAAATCTGTTGTTCTGACTCTAAACATGAAAATCTCAACAACTTAAGGTTCTAATGACTGATTTTTAAATGATCAAGTTTGAATTACTCAATTTGTTTATATTAGTTTTTTCCAAAAGGTTTTTGAGGACTGAATGTTACCCAGTTCTAGCTGCCACCATTGCCCTTCAATGTTCTATTATTTATATCTAAACACTCTTGTGTTACTTTCTCCAAATAAAAAACAAAACAAAACATTTTCTAGGCTGTAGTGTAAAATGCTGAGCTGTGCACAAAGCACTTCTAAATGGACTCTAATCTGAAGCTTATTCACTCGTTATGTAACATGTTACTTATTACTCTGTGCAGTTTCAAACTTATCTTAGGGAATTTCCTCATAAAAACATTAATGTAACTAACAGTAGGACATACAACATGAAAACAATTGGAAAGATTCAGGTTTAAGAATTTTAACAGTAAACGGTAATGTCTGGATTCCTTTTTCCAGGCACAAGTTAACTGTGCTTTTTCAACTTGAAAATGAAGGCTGCTAAGTTTATCTCCAAAGTTAAACAGTGTCTGAAGACAGAAGGGTCTGGTGGATTTGAACTTGTTGGTATGTTAAGGGGTCATTCTGGGCTTATCTAAGAATTACAGGCGCTCCATCTGAGCTCAGTTCTGAGGAGACAGGGTGCACGTAAACCTTACTGATGCAACATGGAGCAGCATGGTCAGCAAACTATAACTCATGCTGGCCATAAAATATCATCACTGTTTATGGTACCACCACTCAGGAGAAAAAAAATACAACCCAGGAGTAACATTCCCACAATGAAGAAATCTAGAGAGTCCATATCATAATACCTTTTACTGTGCTGTCATTTGATCATTGATTGGTCAACCCCCCCTTTGAACAAACAAGGGAGACACACAGCAACAGTCTGGCTCAGTTTCTGCATGTCTGTGTTGTTTTACATTCTTGTCCTCTTGGCTTGTTTCAAAATGTGATTGTTAAAAGATGTGGTTGTTCTAAATTTAAATTGAAAGAAAATAAGTTTTAATATTAAACCAGTACAAAAATACATTCAAAACAGCCTGTGTTTTTCATATGAATGATTTAAGGAGCTATGTACATAATATCCAAACAGGGGATGAAAAACTTGTCACCTACCTTGGTGGACAGAGGACCAGTGGTGCTGATTGTATGACAGCCTTGCTTCTGTCAATCTCCCACACAAAGGCTTCAATTGTGTGTAAATGGGTAAATTTCTCCATATATAATGAAACTTCATAAACCATCAAATTAGTACAGGCCACTAAGCACAATACATGCAGTTTCTGAGTCTCAGAAACAGTCTCAGAGTTTAAATAAAACTTTAACCTCTTCATCCAGTCTTCATTAAAGCAGCAAGTGACAGATGACAGAAAGGGAAATTGAGGTCAACAACATGAAAGTGTAGATCAGATGTGGGTGTTGATACTTAAGATTAAACATATGAATAATTATCTTCTGATCGGATCTCCCAGCTGTTTAACCTGCCAAATCTATGCCATAAGTATTAATCCAAACCTAAGGCAAAAGAAGGTCCAACACCAGTAAAGTGTATCTGATAAAGTGGCCAGGCAGGTTTTTGCATGTAAAAAAAAAAAAAATCTAAGTATGGTTTTTAAAATACTATGAAAACTTAAATAAATGATCCAAGTCAGCAGTGGAATCTGAAATCCCAGAAATCTTGTTTACGTCCTTGTTGTGTTCACCTGTTCATAAGTACAGTAGTAGTCTCTGTATCGTGTTTCGATGTGCGTGTACGCGCGCTCTCGTGCGCGCGTGCTTGCAGTGGCTTTTTAGCACCGTGGACAGCGCCATGCGCCACAGACGCGTCTGTGAAGCTGGGGAACTTATGACGAGCGCTTGTTGCTCAAACATTTTAATTCGGAGGATTTCTCAGCAGTTTTATTACTTTGTAATAGTTTTCCCAATATATTTTACAAGTTTTAAAGACTTTCTTTTCTAAGGGGATAGATTTTAACGGATAAGCCCCTCGTCCTCCTGCTTGTATAAAGGAGCGGAGCCACGCCGCCCTCGGAACGCCGAGCAGCAGGGTCCTCTCTCGACTTGTGCTCGCCTCCTCCTGCTGGAGCTGGAGAGATGCCCGGGGGAGGATGTGCTCCAGCCGCAAGATCCTGTGGAGCCTGCTCCTGCTCTCCTTGGTGGAGGTGGGCCTGGGTGTGGCGAGCATCGTCCTGGGAGCGGTTGGCATCAGCTGGGTGCGCGGGGAGCACCCGCCACATCAGGGCGACGCTTCTCCGGTGTGGAGTGGACTCTGTGTACGTGCACCGACTGCTGTCCTCACTTGTTTTGTAATTCACTCCAAAGGATAAGTACATGCCAAAGGATAGAGCAGGAGAGAGCTGTATTGGCTATTTTAGTGTCATTTTTCTAAAAAGGATTATTATACTATTGGTCTCAAGGATTATTGAGACCAATAGTATAGATCTTTACTTGCCTTTAAAAGCAAATTAAATTGTTTTAATCAGAGACTTTAAATAGCTCAATGGATTCTTCTAAGAATTATGTGAAACACTAAGACTAAACTAAACGTAACGAAAAATTTTTAGAACTAGAAACAAACTGATAAAGTAATAACTAAGTGATCTGATAAAGTAATAGGTGATCTAATAAATTGTTGCATTGCAGCAAGAAGGTTCTGGGTTCGATTCCTGGCCCCGGGTGTTTCTGCATGGAGTGTACAGACTGGTGACCTGTCCAGGGTGTCTTGCCCATAGACTGCCGGAGATAACCACCACTGCAACACTGACAGGAGTAATGGGAAGAAGATGGAACTAACAAATGAAAAACTAAAACATTAAGATAGTAAAACAAAAAAATTTTAAGCTACTTTAGTGCATACATTTGTCCTTTCAGTGACAAAACTACAGGAAAGCACTCCCTACGCCATGTAGACTATTTCTCAGAAGCTCAAGATTGGTTTTATTAATTCATGCTTGACTCGGTCCTTAGTGCCTTGGAGGGTCAAAGCTTTTATGTCCAATCATGCTCTCAGACTTCTAGGAGTATCTCCTCTTGTTTCAGCTGCGCCCACGACAACGTCATTTTGATGCCAGTACCATTCTGTAAAAAAGTTTAGTTTCAGATGGATTCCCAGAAGTTTAAGGACGTTAATGTAACAGCACTGCTCCAGCTAAGATAACATTTCCTATTTGTCAATCGCTAATCTATGTGTTTACTATAAGTGCTTTACTAAAAGGAGCACTTTGAAGAGGACTTCTCAGACAGGAGATTTAAACCGTCAAGCAAAGTAAAATGTTATGTGATAAATTATATATATTAAAAGAGTTTAGTTGCTTGCAGACAGGAATATTAATAAATATATTTCTGCTATGCTTTGCATGATAGACATGTCATGCAGTGTGACATGTACAGCTCTCTGTTGATTCCGTTGTTCTGGGCATTGACTGACAATTGTCTGAAGATACAGACTGAAAAAGAAGGATTTTAATTTGGCTCCCTCTGACACCATGGCAGTTTCCATTTGTAGCTTTTTTTGGAAAAGATGTGTACAAAATCCTTAAAATAAATGGTTGTTATGGATACTGGGTTGCCCAAAGTATCACTCCTTGCTGCCCCTACTCAAAATGTTAGCTTTGGAGATTTTTCTTTCCTCCTCCTTACTCTCCATCATAGTGTCCATGGAGGCAGATTGAACTTGGAGCCTTATCCAGCTGTGTTTGACAACGTTATTGGAGGTTAAAAACTTAAATTTATTGCTAATGTAGTTTGTAATCTTATAATCATTTTTTTTACTTGGGATCACCAATCAACATTTCCGTTATTTGAATATAAATATATTGTCTCTTTTTAATTTTAGATTGTAACAAAATTACATTTATTATCCAAGGCAGCAGTAGGTCATAATTTACTTAGTTAATGTTTGAAGACACTCTAAAAATAGAAATGCAGAAATATGGAAGATCCATTGATTTTATAGAAATTCTTTAAAATGGCAGAAATAAAGGAAAAGTAACTAAATCTAGTGCCCTTCCTCTGCAGCACCTGGGTGACCCCCTCTCTGAAAACCTCTGAAAAATCACAGATATTGCTCTTCTGATCAATATTCTTGAGCCCATTGTAAAGATCCATAGCTGTTTCCGATTCAAAATTGATATAAAGTTTCTTAGGGAAAATTTGTGTTTGCCCTTTTTTCTCCCAAAGTGAAACCTTAAAAAAGCAAAACCATCCAAAGAGAGGTTTCCCATTTAGACACTTGAACATCCTCAACTGATTCCTTTTAATGCAAAGGAACAGTGGCTAAACTCGGAGTAGGTCTCTAAAGGACAGCTTTCAACCTGTTCTTAAAGAGCTTAACTTTATTTCTTGGTTGTTTTGTCAACACATTAAATTAGAGAAGGGTCAACATTACTGCATATATATCTATAATCCCTCTAATCAAAATACTTGGCCTCCTCCACTTCAGGGAAAAATTTTATCGTTGATCTAGCAGGAGCTAACATGGCATAAGCCAGATTTATTTTTTGTAGTTCAATTTGAAATCTACACAGTATCAATCTGGAAAGGCTCCTGTGGAAAGTGTTCACAAAAGAGAGGGACATTCAGTAAAGTTCTTCAAGCTGACTGGCTAAATCACCAAGTGGCACCAGCCCCCATGTTGAGCTTTAAGCCAATCGTAGCAGCAGTTGGGATTGTAATATATAACATTCTTGATTCGTTTCACAACTAGTGGAGTTTTTGTTCCCATCCACAATCGCACAAATTGCATCCTTTTTGCTAATTTTTTAAGAAAGAAATAGAGGGTATTCCAGCTAAAACAGACAGAATAACAACTGCGAACTACATCAGCTAATAGCTAACATGTGTGTCCACTGGCACAGCCATGCTTGTTTTCAGCTTGAGGTTTCTGGTTTACATCATACATGTCACTGCATTTCATTGGTGCAAAACATTTTTGTATTCGATGTTAAGTAATCTATTGTCTTCTGGCAAGATGTATTTCATCTTGCTTGCAAGGTAAAGCAGGAGCATCCTCTGCTCACACTTGGTTGTAAACTTCTATGATGCAAGCTGAATTTCATTGCTTCAAGATGCTAATACAACACAGTCTGTTGAAGGTAAAGATGAGACTTGGAAGTACACAAATCTGATACCCCTTTACCTTGACTTCTCTTTAGGTTAGTGTACTTTAGAGACCAGAAACATGTCTGGTGACGTGGACCAGCCATAGCAAAGCACAGCTCTGGCACTGATTGTGTGCCACTGACAGACAGAAATTCACTAAACTCCTTGTCTAAAGCTAACCTTGTTCTCTGTTAGTTTTTCTGTTTAACGTTAACTTCCTTGATGAAAACTGTTTATTTTTTATACTCTAATAACACCAGAGGGAAATTACTTCTCTGCATTTAACCCATCCCCTTGGGGAGCAACAGGCTACCTTTGTGGGGCGCCCAGGGGAGTGGTGGATCGAACTCACAACCTCAGGATTCAAAGCCCTATGCCCTAACCACTAGGCCGCTACTCCCCCGGAAGTCGAGTCAGTCCCCAGACCCACACAGACACTAAAAATTTTCCTTCCTCAGCATAACAACTTTGCAGAGGTGGAGTGGTGGCCTAGTGGTTAGGGCATAGAGCTTGGAGTCCTGGGGTTCTGGGCTTGAGCCCCACTCCCACAGACTGCCTTTCTGGGTCTCTGAGCAATATCTTTAACCCCTGATTGCTCCCCGGGCGCCCCACAAAGCTAGCCCATTTCTCCCCAAGGGGATGGGTTAAATGCAGAGTTAAATTTCTCCAATGTGAGATCAATACAGTTCAATTATTATATCATTCACTACCAATAGCTAGATAAACATCTGCAATAAAACCCTCAAACATTGGGCATTAGGATTTAGTGTACCCAACTTGCCTGGAGTTGAGAGAAACTCCCTAAGGTGTTGATTAATTCACTGAGGTATTATTAATCTCACAAACAGGATCATCTGCTAGATGTCCCAGCTCAAAGTTACTGTTTGTTTTGGTAGGTCTGTCCATTGACCCTATCAGGTCAAACAGCATCAAATGTTAACTTCTTTCCCTGTAGTAATTTGACCAATGCAGACGTAGAGATTATTAGCCCCCTTTAGTCTGGGTTATAGTCTGCTTATTCACTCTGGATTCCCCATTGTGCTTCCTTTTAGGTCTTGCCCCAGGAGGATGTCCTTGTCCCCTTGCAGTTGGGCAATGCGTGTCTTGTTGCTCTTTTTTCTGTGAAGGCAAAAAAGATCCCAAATTGTTCTCTACAAGAATTTTAAACCTTTGCGATTCACTAAAAATGTATTCTTATTGGCATATTCCTCTGTTTTTATTCCCTTTCAACAGGGAATGTAAGCAAACTTGATACAGGCAACAACAGTTGACACAGAAAAGCTCATTTTCAAACATATTCACACTGCTCCTATCAGCAAACAAATACAATACACAGCTCGCTGAGCTGTTTCTATGTGAGTTTGTTCTGCCAGATTAGCACAACCTGCAGTTTTCTCTGAATTACTTAGACCTACTGTGGGACAACAGGGCTTCTTCCCAAAGGAGCACTGTTTTAAGAAAATGCATGTGAGTGAGAGCAGAATTTCCTATTCTGTTTTTTAAAATGATTGAAGGAGATTAAAAACACATTTCGCCATTTCCCAAGCAATGATTTTATGGATATAGAGCTCAATACAAGTTTTACAATAGTGTTGTTGATGAACATGTTTTTTTTATTTCTTTCAGTTTTTACTCTGTGGGATGTGTGGAGTGCTCTGTGCTCGGAAGAGGACAGGTCTTATTGTAAGTACTGTAAAGTTTCCCCATGAAGACCTGTAAACTACTTTTTTGTCTTCTAGATTTTGACCTAAATGCAGCAAAAGCATTTTCTTGTTCCAGAACAAGACAAGAAAGAACAAATTGTAACAGAAATTGTTGAGCATATTGGGAGTGCATATGTAGTAGAGATCAGACAGTTTGTTCTGCTCTTTAAAATCTTAGATTAACCTTTGCAAGTATTGTTTTAAAAATTTGCCTTTCTATTTTACAAAAAATACCACCTTTGTGTAAGATCGCTAAAGGGACCCCCGGGTCAATTCAACTTTGGCATCTACCAAAACAAGATACTTGACTAATGCAATGTATATGTCAGATGAAATCCTGTCCATTAAATAAGACTATGACCTCTGAGTCATTCTGACTCGGATCAGTTCAGGTCAATATCCTAAAATGTCAACCAAATTCTCAGTCTACAGGAGCAGCTTCTGATCCAAACTCCCTATTTCTTAATAACCATATCATCATGGAAAGCACATTTTTTATGATGCATGTGACTTCCTTGAATTGCTTTTTTTTTTAATGTATTGTACATGTTGACGTTGCTATTTTAAAAAATGCCTCTGACATTCTGAAATCCCCTTCCTTTAATCTAGAGTATATGAATTATTGAATTACATTAACAAGTACAGACCAGGGCCGCATTGAAAAGGTTTTCATACGCGTGTGAGATGGATGTCTTTTACAGTTATGTGGAAAAAGATTGACAAAATTGTAGATTTTACATCAAGGAACAAGTCTAATACCAGAAAAAAATAAAATAAAAAATAAAATATATATATATATATATATATATACATACATACATATATATGAATAAATAATGCAATAATAGAATAATTACAAGATTACAAGCTGTTCATGAAATAGTTCTCTTGATTTACATAAAAACAGCAACCATTAACAAACATTAAAGATCAAGATTCATATTTATTTATAAAACCATGCTTAAGTAGAACTGAAAAGTTAATAAACATATTTCAACGTTCAAAAAGTGAAAAGCAACATTTTTATAGATTTGTTACACACAGATTAATGTTTACAACCTCTATTTCTGTTATTCAAGTTAATGATACATTTATATAGATATTTCAATACATATTTGTATCAAGTACACAGGAGATTACAAAAATATTTTGATAAACTTAAAATAAAACACAGCGTGTGCTTTGATACGGATACCTGAGGAAATGAGAGGTGGCAAGCGGTCACCTCTCTTCTCTTTCTGTCACTCTTTCAACCTTTTTTACAGTGTGTCTCCAAGTCCTAGTGTTTCTCTTTGACTCTGTCTCCTGCAGGCAGTGCAATAATGATGGATCAATGTCATTCCAATCTGCTGTAACTGAGACGTCTCCCTGTCTCACTCTGTCTGTCCAGAGCTTTTTCTTTCTCTTCATATCTCTCTTCTTCCTCACTCCAATATGTCTTTCTGCTATGTATTCTGGCTCATAGTTGCTGTCAGTTTGATACCCATGCTCCCTCCATCTTTCCTTTTTCATCTTCTTCCATTTCTCCTCCTCTCCCTCCCCCCGTCTGTGGGGTGATGATTGCATTAGCTCGGTTTGGCTCCGGACCCCTGCCAGCCGATTTCCACACTTCTCTGGGTAATGACTGAAATCTGAGATGCCCTTTTGCATGCGGTTAACGCACTAACTGCCTCTGTACTGGGAGCAATGAGACAATACCTGCAGTGCAGAAACAAACACACACACATGCATTCTAAATCAATGGAAAGTATAATTGCGTAATTCTGTTGTTCTGATAGCAGGGTAATGGAGATGCAATCATTTCCCAGGTGGAGCCTTTTGGGAGAGTAGAAATCTCAAATTGGGTTGGAGTTTTGCTTTGCCTTTTAAAGTTCAAACAAGGGTTATCCATATGAAGTGATTGATATGATAATACTCAAAAGGAAATCCAACAAACATAGAGCCAACTCATCCACCAATATACCAAGATAGTGGGGAAAATACTTTCCAAATCTGTGATTATTTATTAAACATAGAATCAACTGTGATAGAAATCTAATTTCCCAATGTAAAATTAGATCTATTTGTTGTGATGTTCATCACTAACCACCATAGCTAGTATCTAAATTATGAAAATATTTCAGATTAAAGTTTGTTTGGTTAGTGTATTGCTCATATGACACCTTGTGTCTTATGAGCAATAGGGATGTCTAATTGATAGACACCAGGGTGTCTAGCTTATAGTTAGTGTGGCTCAGGTTATCCTGAGCTTTCTCTATAGTTATGCTGCTATAGGCTTAGACTGTCGGAGGACAAAGGGACCATTTTTCATCATTCTGCTTCATTCTTTATATATTCTCCCATTCTGTATCATTTGTCAGTTCAATCTCTAACATTAAGCTCTCTCTACTTTTTCTCATAGTAGCTTTATCTGGTCTGATCTATTCGGCTGTGACACCATCCTGGAGGAAAGAAGCAGAGGGGTGTCAGCACAGCCGACTCCCCTCTGGTTCTTTTTCTATGTTTGCTTCTGTCTCGTTGAACCCCAGCTGGCCTCGGCAGATGGCTGCTCACACTGAACCTGGTTCTGTTGGGGGTTTCTTCCTGTTAAAAGGGAATTTTTCCTCTCCACTGTCGCTTCAAGCACGCTTGGTGTAAGGGATTGCCTTCGAATCACTGAGTCAATGCAATCCACTGGTTTTTCTTAGATTGGAAACTGAATCAGTTTGACTGTATGATCTGGTTGAACTCGTTTTGGAGATTACATGTGTTGTGAATTTGAACTATAAACTGAATTGAATTAACTGACATGAAAACAATTTATCTTTCCTTGTCTTTCAGATGATCCTTTTCTCAGCATGTTGCATCTGCGGCCTGATTGCCGGGATTCTGAACTTCCAGTTTGTTCGGGCGCTGAACAAAAGGCCAAACTCAATGCAATCGATCCACCTGGCAGCCATGACACTGGCTGGTCTGGGTAAATAAAGAGAAACTTCACAACACAACATGTGATGAGACAATGAAATGCAACGGAAAACAGTTCTCAATGTTTACAACAGTTAAAATACAATAAAATACATTTTTAGACTGGACATAATATTCCCATGCATATTTTTACTGTTGTCTTAAAAGGATCAGTTATGAATCTGTATCTAATCTTCGTTTTTTGCTCTCTCTATTATTTGTACTCTGAGTGCAAAGTGCATGCATGTTCATATTGACAAGAATGATAAAATGAAGGAAATCACTAAATACTAATTACCTTTTATTAGAAAACACATTTTTCATTATGCAGACACATTCATCGAATGATATGTGACTTCAGTGCAATCTATTATTGAGCATTTTATTTTTATTTTTATTACATCCTTTAGGAGAAAAAAAAGGCATTAATATAGAGTGCCTGAAGAATTGATATTGTGGATTTAATAAATGCCTTGCTTTCTCCAGGGATCTCAACATGTACCTTATCCACATGGCTTACCTGTCGACTGGCCAGCTCTGAGCAGCAGAGGATGTTCATGGAGAGGGAGCACTCACTGCACCATTCACACGAGATGACAGAGAAGGTAAGACCAGACAGAAAGAATATTATAAACGGCAAGACTATATATCTTTGGGATATATTACAAATGTGTCTCATATATTTGTTCTTTTCAGGAGGTCCTTGACAACTCAAGTAATGGCATTCCTCAGGTCTCCTACAACGGACACACTTCAGCGTCACCTTAAGGATTTGACAAACACCAAAACCAAGACCGTTTCTGCAATACTGTCTGTGAGACAGAAGACTCAGCCTGTGGCTAACTCAACAGTGTTCTGTCCTGAATACACAAGAAGTGGACCAGGACTGTGTCACTTTGGAAACCTTTACTGCTGTCAGAGACAGAAGCAAAGCTTTTTTTCCTCCTGAATTATTATGCAAACACAGGTTCAAAAATCCTAAGATCAGACCAAAGCAAGGAGGCTGAACGGTTGTTTGGAGGACAGCTCAGGTGAACTATCTACATGATAATCTGCAGGAAGGATGGATTTTTACTTTGAAAGCACAAAGTTAGCATGCAGCTGATCAATATGAATCAAAGAGCTATAGCTGTTTATTCTCACTGTTCTTACTCACTTTCTCTTTTTAGTAATCAGTTTAATGAATGCAGTCTGAGATAGCCAACAGTCAATTGTATGTAATGTCTAATGATGGAATGCTTTGATATGACAACACGGTGATAAGTAAATGTACTGTACCATGTAACAAAGTTTGCACATCAGGTATCTATAAATCATTATTTTTATAATGCTTCTTATAAAGTAAAATTAAATAAAATATGGCTGATATATGATGCAGACTGGCTTTGATTGTCTAAGACTTTATTGCAAGAGTTTTTGTATATCTAGGTTTCTAATAATTCTCTGTTTTATTTTGTTAAGAATTAATCACAGATTTTACTTCAATGCAAACAGTGCTTTGGTTTTTTTCCTGTTTTTTTTTTTATCCAACCTCTCCATGACTTTTCTATATGCTCTTAATCTCCATGGTGAGGAATAATATGGCTTTTTGAGATGTTTTGGCTCATTTTACGTTGTTAGACAGGTTCTATTTATTTATTTCTTAATTAATTATCTGTTTATTCTGTCCAAAAGCATAAATCAGTTAATTCGAGGTTTTACAAAGAAAGTACTTATCTGACACAGAGGACCAGGTTCCTCTTGATATATACAATTCCTGTTTGATTAGTTGTTTTTTAATTTATTAAGGTTATATCAGAGTGATTTTAAATGTGTCAGAAAGCAAAAATAGAGAAAGTCTTTATAGGGGGAAATTAACTCATGTGGGCAATCTTGTTCTAGAATTGCTCTTTTGTACTACTGACTCTGCCCATAATGACTAACCATATGTCATACGTCCCGAAAATAGAACAAAACCATTTATTTCATCTTTGAAAACAAAAAGACGGGCTTTCTGAAGCCTTTTAGGGATTTGGACCACAGTAAACACAGTTTTTGTGTACTAATTAACCCATATTGGGATATTCCATACGAATCCATACAGGCTTCTTACTGTTAAAAGGGAGTTTTTCCTCTCCACTGTTGCTACAAGCATGGTTAGTGTGAGGGATTGCATTAGAGTCAATGAGTCGATGCAATAACCTGGTTTTCCTTAGATAGAAAACTTTGAATCAACTTGACTGTATGATCTGGTGAATTGTAAAGTGCCTTGAGATGGCGTGTTGTGAATTGGCGCTATAAAAATAAACTTAATTGAATTGAAAATTGATCATTGACAGTTTTCCATGAAATGCAGCTAAAACCATGACTCATTCTAGTGAAGCCAGTGCTGTTCAATGAGCTTGATGTATCACTTCATTAGTGACTTCTTGAAACCTCCTTTTTAACATGCTGCAACCAAGAACTTAAGTATAATTTATTGGGAAGGAATATTGAAAGAAACATTTTTAACAAAAATTTTATTTTTAGGGGGCAAAAGTAAATTTTTTAGTCCTCTTTAATTTGATGCCTCTGAATGATACCCAGCCCATTTAAAGGTTTAGAGGATGGCCGTTTATTTCCGGGTGGATCATCTAAATAAGTGGTCCTCCTAATTGTCAATCATTCTGGTGATATATTTACGTAAAACCATCCAATGTGCTTGTCCCAGCTAGCTATCTTTTCCAGGTGTATACATGTAGCGAGCTACAGTTTCAGACAGTCATTAAAACTCACCTTTCTCACTGCGGTTATTTAAAAAATAGCCGAGGGTCGTAAGAGAACAAGTGTCTACGAAGTGTATGAGAAGAAAGGAAAAGCCTCAGAAGATGCAGATATATCATAGAATGCTTTGGGGGGGAGAGTTTTCCTTGCAAAGCATTATGGGATTTGCTGTCACAGCGGCCCGCTGTCACCATAGGCTGTCACTACCCAACAGCGGCGACTAATAACAAAGATGGCGAAGGCACTGGGCAGTGGAGGAGGAGTTATGGAAAAAGTAGTGATTATCTGTCCAAAGGTCAATTAACTGAGTTTATAGTCACCACTCGAATATTGATTGAGGGATTTAGGGGTTAGGGTGGACGTTCGGACACAGTAAACATCTATGAGCTATGAGAACAGAAACTTATATCGAAAGTTATCACAATTAATACATAACGCATATGGTTACATAAAAGGCACTATAGTGTCAAATCTAAGACTCACTTAGGAAAGCATGCTTCCTGCATGTCTGATTTTGGCCCTGCTCATGCCTTACATACCAAATACTGTATACACTTAATAAAATAAAGTAAATTTGCTTTATAGCTCATCTGAAACCTGCTTAAAGGAAGTGCTTCACAAAGCCTAATAAGAAACAGCAGAACATGAGCTCACACATACACCACTTAGACCTCTCTTGAAGACATTCAATTGCTCTAACAACATCACGCTGCTCGGTACTTAATTATAAACCACTGTGTACAGGAAGTGTGTATGTGCATTTGTTTGCATGGTTGCTTGTGTTAACTGTGTCCTTTTGCAGGAGCAGCTGCTGGGAGCTCATGCTGTTTCGGAAATCAAGTCACTATTTATCACTGTGACAGCAGACGGGAGCGGGGCCATGGTGCCCCTGACGCTGCCAGATCTGAAGTCACTATGTGGGATAAAGAGAGAAACGCTGAATCATGTGACCTTTTGGTGATGCTGCCCTGTCAGAAAAACGTAACACTAGATCTTTGTTCACCCAAGTGTCAGGATAGTCCGTGAGTCTGTATGAGTATCAATGTAAGCAAGCACGCAAGGGTGCACTAGTTGCACTATCTGACACCCCAGGTCACCCCAATGATCTTAATGTGAGGAGGATACAGAATTAATGAGCATCCGATCAAGACTTGAACAGGTTGAGGATTACATAATGAAGGGCATGATGTAACCTGCATTAAATGAACTGTAAAACTCTTAGTTTGATGGCTTTTAATCAATAAGCCTCTGTCTGATCATATATATGTGATTTATATTACATAATTTACAAAACTCCAAATATTTAAAAACATTTCTGATGTTAATGCACATCTTAAAATTTTATCAGAACAAATTTATTCAGTGGGCTTTACTTCTGGGGCTTTTGGATTGTGAGAACTGTGGTTTGTTTGTATATATTTATTCATAATCCTGAGCTACTACCTTTTACCTTCACAGCTGCAAGTCTTTGGGGCTTTGTTTGAGGCCCCGATGAAGAGGAGATTAGTATATCTGCAATGGATTGTTTTCATTTAGATGGGATTCTGCAGCAGTGTCCATAAAGGGCCTGGCATTCTGTGTTGTAAGTAGTGCAGCAAGCACTCCTGTGGATGCAATTTTTTCTAACATGTTTGTGAAATAATACTCTGATCGTCTACGTCTAGACCAGGCCTTAGCTTTCCACTACCAACAGTTTTGAACCTTTCAAAACCAGTGTTCCATAAGATTTTAAAATAATGTGGCCTTCCTTTTTTACATTATAGAAATAATTACTTTTCTTAGCTGTAAAAATAACGAGATCTCAGTATAGTATAAGTATAATATACCTGACTGATTGATTTTAATAAAATAAACACTGCATCAGACATTAAAGTAAACAAGAAAGTGTTATTGGTGTACTTGGACCCTGTGATAATCAGCCGGTTTATATATCTAGAAGCTTTTAAAGTAAAATCACTAATTTCAAGCTCTAAAAAATCTAATGGATAATATGCATGCATAATAACCAAAAATTTTATTGCAAGGATACTTAAAATGTAACTATGTTTATTTGTTTATTTAAGGATCCCCATTAGTGTCTACTACCAGAAATTAGATGAGGCTACTCTTCTTCGGGTCCATTTTTAACCAAAAAACATAACAAAAAGTTACAACAAACTTACAGGAGTGACAGCATAGTTAAAATAGACAACAAACATAAAAAAAAAGAAAGTCAAACAGAATGTCCTTATCAGTTATAGGTTTGTGTTTAGTCCAGATTTTATGCAGAGACACCAAAAAAACAGCAACCTATCATTTATCCATTTCAGTGTCTGATGCAAGACAGCAACACCGGTCCAAACTGTACATCCCAGAGCCAGGCTTGCTGCCCGATTCTAAGCTATATGGAGCCTGCTGGAGTCTTTTTGAGCAGCATTTGACCACAGATTGGAGCAGCAGTCTAAGTGACATACAACTATACTGTATTAATATTAAACTATAGACTGTATTTCTAATTTCCTTGTTTCGAACTGACACATAATTGGCATCGCATCTAATTAATAAGATGTTTCTGCTCATTTTAGTTACAATATTATTATTATGTGAAGACCAAATTGGCGGTTCTAGATAGGGGCCAACGCGGGCCAGTGCCCCTGTAGATCATGTCCTGGCCCCTGTTATGGCCCCTTGTACCAAAGACATATTACACAAAGAAATTCTAATGATGATATGTGCTGAACAGACATGGTTACTGATAGTTCTGTTTTACTAATTATATAAAAACAATAAGGTGATACCTTCAGTGGTATTGAGATAGCATCCCAGTTTTCATCTGCTAAATGTTTTTTGTTTTTTTTTTATGCTCTAAGTTTTACAGCTGAATTTATCAGTTTTTCTTGAGTTCTAATTCAGATTTTATAGAAAACTGTAATTTTAACTAAAAGATCAAATATGTAAAAGTCCTAAAATATGAATGCATATTTACCTAATAACAAATAGAATTTTAATTAAACCTAATAGAATAGAAATTCATGCAGCTATTTTAATATATCCCTGTTTTTTATTTCATGCTTTTCTGTGCCCTCATGATAACAATGCTGGCCACCTCCTGGCCCTCTAGTACATTTGGACTAGAACCGCCACTGAAAGACCAGGACATTGTTTGATCTAAAGTAAAACCCAACAATTTAATTTCATTCACCTGCTCTACAGATTGTTGGTGTAAAGTTTAACATTGGTGCATCTCTCATGGCATGTTTAGATCCTAACATCATACACTTTAATTTCAACACATTCAGTTTTAACATGTTCTGCACAACCCACTCATACACCAATTCTAGGTCTTGTTTTAGGATATCATTAACCTGATAATGATCGCATGATATATAGTCCTGTCATCCGCATAGACAGTCATACAGGCCTTCTGCTACACACACTGTATGACATGTTATTCACATAAACACTGCAAATATAGGGATCAAGACACCTGCCTTGCTGGATTCCGCATACAAGTGTTACAGTGTGTACAAAAGAACCATTGAAAGTAGGTTTGAAACAATTAATCTGATCAATCATGATGAATTGATTATTAAATAACGTCAACTAATTTAGTAATCGATTAATCATTAAGTGGACTATAAAGACTGTAAAACATGGCTTTAACTGACAGAGCAGCCCAATAGGAGCAATATTTATATCAAAATTGTAAATAAATTTTGCATTTAAGATTAAAAAAAAAAATTCTGTCAAATGCTCTATCCAGAACTCCTCAAGAGGAAATGTTTAATTGATTAATAAGAAAATTATCTAGAAAATAATTATCTGCAAAATAATCATTAGTTGAAACCCTAATTGAAAGTGATACATTGTTACATGTTTAAGATCTATCAAATGTACAGTTTTTTTGTTGGCATACAATTCTCTTAATATAGTTCTCAATATTTATTTGTTTTCCTATTTTTATTTAAACGTGTCATTTTTTTCTTTTTTTTTCTTTTTTCTTTTTTTTACCTTGAGCTTTCAAATGTCTTTTCGTGATGTAGTTCCACCGTCCCACCGGCAGGGGGAAATCTAAAACTAAATCTCTGTTTTTGAGGAAAACTTGTTGGCGGAAGTTGTCGTCTTCCTCTCTGCTTGCAGCATGGCGAACTTGGAGCATGCTGAAGACGACCAGAACCACGTGAAAATGCCAGGTGAATTCCCCGCTGCTGGTTCGCCAGTCAAACCGGGTCAAGAGTCCTGCGGACCGGCTGGACCCGTGGGCGCCATCCCGTCTTTCTCGGCTGCCTCGGAGCTGCTGTCGGCTCCGTACTCCTGCCTGGTCCTGAACTCCCACCGGAGGCACATCGTGTTGCCGCCTGTCTATCTGAACAAGAAGAGGACGGGGATACAGGAGGAGCTGGACGCCGAGCTACTTAAGTTCTCCCGCTGGTAATAATATTAATACATTATTAAATATTTTTTATAAAGAAACAAGTTACACGTTCTTAGCCCTGTTTGTTGTGTTTCACTCCATCCTTCAGTAAAGTATTCACACGAATCACTTCTCACTTTATTATTACTTTCTTACATTTAGGTTCCTCCCACTTATTTAAAGACACAACGTAATATTATTATAGATAGATCTGGTTGTTTTCCATAAATTGCTTTGGACACAATGCGTTTAAGGATATATTACTACCAAGACTTTGTTGTTATTGTTTTTTTTCTTCCTCAAGATTTTTTAGTACGACCATTAGTTTATTGATCCAATGTACATGAAGGTTTTTAACCAGTAAACCAAATGCGACTATCCACACTATCATGTAGGATTCAATTCAGTTTATTTATATAGCCCCAATTCACAACACATGTCATCTTGAGGCACTTTACAGTTCTTCAGATCATACAGTCAACTTGATTCAAAGGTTCTATCTAAGTAAAACCAGTTGATTGCATCGACTTATTGACTTGGATGCAATCCTTTACACTAAGCATGCTTGTAGCGACAGTAGAGAAGATAAACTCCCTCTTAACAGGAAGAAACCTCCAGCAGAACCAGGCTCAGTGTGAGCGGCCATCTGCTTGGGCCTACTGGGGTTCATGGGGAGATACAAAAAACAACTGTAAAAGGCGGCCCGTCCAGGAAACAAACAGCCAGGCAGATGAGCTCCGAGCCAGCTCCCATGTCAGAGGATGAAGAGAGCACATCCAGCCAGTCACAATCAGAGAAACAGGAGTACACTGGAAAACAGGCCGATCTCCAACATCTATAAACAAAGGAGTTCATGGCAGCAGCACAGCTGATATATCTCTTCAGGATGGTGTCGCAGCCAAACAGGAACAGACAGGGCAAAGCTACTATGAGAAAAAGCAGAGAGAGCATAACTTTAGAGATTGAACTAACAGATTCTGCAGAGTGGAATAATAGAGATAGAATGATGAAATAGGGGTCCCTATGTCCTCCAGAAGTCTTAAGCCTATAGCAGCATAACTATTGCATAAGTAGGACAGGGCTTCTTTGACATTTGCCTGTCAGTCAGCAACAGCTGGTAGAAGTATTGATAATGGCTTTATGACACAGAGACTTATAGCTAATATTATGCCTGTGTTAGATCCTGTTGATTATGCTGATCTGTGTAATAATGAGAACTTAATATAATTTCTAGATCTCCTAAAAGCTTTCAACACCATTACACACTTTATACTTAATGATAATAATAATAATTGAACTGTATTGATCTCACATTGGAAAATGTATCTCTGCATTTAACCCATCCCCTTTGGGAAGCAGTGGGCTGCCATTGTGAGGCACCCAGGGAGCAGTGTGGGGTTTAGGGTCTTGCTCAGGGAGCACCAGGCTGTGGGGATCGAAACTGATACTTGCAACCTTCTGAGAGCACAAGCGCACTGCTCTAACCCAACACTCCCCTCCACTTAAAGCATTAGAAAACAGTCGTTCAGGCTCTTACTTGTATACAGCTATTAAAACTATGTAGGAGAGTAGTAATAATCTCTGCACACATCTACTCTCACATTTAATTAAGTTGAACCATTTAAAATGTTTTACTATTGCACAAAGCGAGATTATAATTAGTTAACTACACAATACCACTTTATTTTAATGGATTTCACAGAATACTGCAGTTATTTACCTAATTAAAGAAGCTGGGCTCTATCTAAATATCAATAAATGTGAACTGTTAGCCCACTAAAACTGAAGTGATTCCTTTTATTCATAGTATTCCAGTAAAAGATTCTGTTTCATATCTTGATATAACAATTAACACAAATCAAAAATACTAGATGCTCTCCAAACTTCAACCTCATAATAGAAAAAGCACAAAGAAAAATACAGAAATTGTTACTTTTTTGTTAACATATTTGTGTTAAACTGCATCACTAACATGGTTTGTTAATCTGTGTGTATCCTATAGTCTACATGGAGTTCCTTTAGCATATGACAACATCAGGATCACTAAACAACATGGAGACATTTACGACGACAGCGGCTACATTCACCTGGACATCGAGGCTAACTTCATTGTGTTCCAGCCCAAGAAGGGACAGAAACTCCTGGTAAGGTGGACATTCGTTCCTGAGTTAAGCAGTTATTCAGGGAACTATGGCTTGTCTTCTTTTTTTTCTGCTCTGACATAATGTCTTATTTTTTATATAATAGACCAATTGGATTTAAGCAACCAGACTGAAAAAAAAAAAAAAACATTTATTTCTTGGAGATAAACCACCGACACTGAAACTTGACCTTATTTTTAAAGGGTAAGGTGAATAAACTCGGAGTGAGCCATGTAGGCTGCCTTGTTCACGGCTGCTTCAACGCCAGCATCCCCAAACCCAATCTCGTCTCCGTGGAAACATGGAGGGACGCAGGGCCGAGGATCGGCACGGAGCTGGAGTTTAAGGTGACAGCGCTGGATGCCGACTCTGCAGGGGTGCTGCTAATTAGGGGACAACTCCAGAGGACAAGGTATGATGGGCAGCTGGTGTGTTGATCCGAATGAAACTATAAGACTCTAACATACATGGCGTAAATCTTAGATTCACAAAAGAAAAAAAAAAAAAATCATAGAATGGGTTTTAAAGTCACTTTTCAACCATCATCAGATATTGTTGAATGTATAGCACAAAATAGTTGGAAAAACATGAAAGCTCTTCATGAAGAACTTTTTGCACATTAAATCAGGTGAAAAAGTACACATTGAGATTTAATGATTTGCCGGTGTAATGATATAACTAGTATTTTGCTGTAGTGCAGACCCATTTGAAATTCTATCACTATATTTTGTGAAATGTATTGCAGCTATACGATTTACAATAAAAACACTTAACATGTATTAGTCTATTACTTCTAGGCCTTAAATGTAATTTGATAGGCCAGATTTTGCTGTTGGGTCTTAAACGGCTTCTGGTTAGGTGTTAAATTTGCTCTTTTAGTCTCTCGTTGCTGCTTACATTTTTCTTTTGTTACATATCTTATAGTTCAGGCTGAGAAATCAGATGTTATTTTACGTTACCAAATATATACAAGCCCAGGAAATTAACGCTTTTGGAACGTTCCTAAGTATTCCTTTAGGTAGCTTAGTTTGGGAAATAAAATCAGATTGATTTTATATGTTATCTATTTTGTCTGTCTTATGTTGGTCTTAGATTTAAATGATCAGGATCTTAAAAAAATCTCAAAAGGGTTTGAAATTTGGACTTCTATCTTTCAAGAACAAATAATGTGAAAAGAAAAAAACTCACCAAAGATTAAAAAGGCTATTTCACTACAGCCGTTACCTGCAGCTCTGCCCCTTTGAAACAAAACAACTGCATTTGATGTTTAAGAAAACATTATTGGCCTAATGTAGGCAAAAATGTACCACTTTTTGTTGCTCGCATACATCATCAGTTTGAGTTTATCATGAAAATAACAGGGATTCTTTTTATCGTGGCAGTTTTTACATAGATAAAACAGTTATTAGATATTAACAGTTCAATGATTCCCTATCGTATAGATGTATGCAATCACATTAAGAAAATATATAGTAATCCTTGCAACTTTCTTTTTCAAGAAAATTATTTTAAGTTATATTTGAGGAAAGATCTTCTATATAATTTCTTAAGTTTTTATTATTGTATCTGTTTCAGTTTGGTAATTTTTTTATTAGCCTGCTGAAAAACACTTTAAGCTATTTCCAGTTTTCTGGTCAAGTTCACCAAAATTTACTCCAGCTATCAAGCTAATTCTCAATAACATTTAGAAATACTATACAACATGAATTATTATTTTGTGAAATAAAAAGAAATCTTTAGATTAGGCTGCTATGTAGTAACACAGCCAGGGTCAAAGGGAGAATATATCTTTGTGTAAAAGCAGTAAAGACACCTGTTAGTTATTCTAGATGATATTCTGCAGGTTTGGCCTTTTGTGTTTTCACCTTCTGGAATGACTGCTATGTTTTCCTTTCTGTGCTTCACAGCGTCCAGGAGCTGATGGCTTTGAGTGAAAACCCAGAGTCAAGCTTTCCTGCTGGTCAGCAAGAACCACGGGATGCAGAGCCGGCCCCAGAGTCACAGGAAACAGAACCGGTCCCAGATCTGACCCAGCAATGCCACGAGGACATGCCCAAGAAGAAAAAGAAGAAGAAGAAGGAGAAAATCAAAGAGGAAGAGACAGAAGAACAGATAACAAGGATAGCACCAAACAAGCTGCACCTCCTAGCAGCACCGGCTCTGAACGGGTCTGCAGAGAACGCAAACAGCGGGGACACTCCGGAGAAAAAGAAGAAAAAGAAAAAGGAGAAACATGTTAAAGAAGAGGAGGAGGAGATAGAGGTGTCTGGCATGGAGAGCCAAAGTAGCTTTAGTGACAAACCAAGCAAAAAAAGAAAATTGGAAAGCAGGACTGATCCGTCAGATGATGAAATAACGCCGAAAAAATCCAAGAAGAAGAGAAAAAGTGATGTTTAGGTTTTCACCTGAATTATGTAATTGTTTGTTAACATAGCCTCCTTTTCTGGGCCAGTTTTAAAACATTTAATTTAATAAAAGTCCTTCACAGAAACTCATCTCTGGTGGCCTTACTCAGTGGGATGTAGTTCCATACACTGCCTGATGGTGGAGCAAAAGCACCATAAATAAACACAGTGGAAGGCAAAAATCAGGGGCTGAACACTTGTCAAACCTGACATGAAAGTAACTCCCATTCCTCTTGTGCCTTTTTTCGGACTTCCTCCCCAGGAATGAACTGTTTTGAAAAAACTTGTCTTAAAAGTGAGTTTGGATGAATCCTCTTTATAACGCTTGTGGCAAAGTTACAGTGAACACAGGATTTGTCCATTTCTCTGGAGTGTTCTATTTGCTACAACTGTAAAAAATTTTAATAAATATGTAATTCTCTCACACAAGTCTCAAGTATTTTTGTTAAAAGTGTTTGAGTAGGATCATATAAATAAAATCTTAGGCATGTCTGTTTTAATCAGGCCCCTCAGGTTTAGAAATCTAGTTCAACCCTTCACACATAGAAGGTCAAATGCTTCCTTCTGTAAAATTTCCGTTCTGTAAGCTCCTTTTTTGTTAAGCTGAGGGTGTTGGTTGATGAAGTGTCGACAGAAAGCTTGAAGATCCCTGTGTTTTCTTTACCCTGCCTCCACACAGCCTCAGATCTCCCTGCCTTTCTGTGGGAAGCCTAATTAGCTGTTAGGTGCTAAGAGTTAGGGAGCTTATCGGAAGCAGCCTAAAAGAGGAAAGATAAGGAGCTTCAATTAAGTCTGCTTATCTTCTCTTATCACGTGATGGTGGATATTAGCTTAACCTTCAGGTGGGCTTTTTTTTTTATTAATAGGTGTTTTTTTATTTATTTCCCAAAGTTTCAGGCCTAAATTGATCCAAAATACAAATAGTTTTAAGGATTCAGTTTCACTTTCCTGTTGCAGTAAGTTATTTACAAAGTAATGATCAATGGCTTATTTTCAAAAACACCTTTTTGGGTACCAATAAACAGGTTATTGTCATATGTCTAGGCTGCAGAAACAAAAATAACAGAGTAAAGATTAATCCATTTCCCCACTTCCCAGCTTTAAACCAGTCAAACTATTTTACAGTTTAATTATTTGGTGCGATAAAGCAGATTACTATGAGGGGGAACTATTGGCATCAGCCAGAACCTTTAGTCCTCTTAAGTTTGTCAAATTAAGCCTCAAGAGTTAATGGATTATCTGATATTTTATGATAAATTATCAACAGAATTGTTAAAGGAAGTTGATATATAGTTTTATTTCCTTTACAAATAATCTAAAAGGCATGCAGAGATATTCTAGTTTCTATCTGGCGCGGAATGCATGTCTGGAGTTTGACTAGGCCGTATGTTTTTATCTAAACTACTTCATCTTAGATCAGGCTTTATTACCCTGTTAGAAGGTGAGCTTACATCATTGTTTTAAGTCTTTGGCTGCATCTTTAATGGTTTTGTCGCAGTATGTAGCTATATCCGCAATCTCAGCCTGAAGTGCAGTTAACTCCCTTTGACTCAAAAATAACTGTTTCAGAATCAGAAATACTTTAATAATCCCAGAGAGAAATTACGTTTGTTACACACTCCAGATGCAAAAATGTTTCTCATATATATATATATATATATATATATATATATATATATATATATATATGCTGCATCTATGCATGCATAATAAAGCTTTGCAATGTTAAAAATATTAAAAATGTTTTCTGCATTCCTGGAACCATAAACTAATTTTTTGTCACAATGTTATATTGTTTCACTGACAGTTTGCGTTATGGGTGAAAAGAAGGAGGATCAGCAAATTTCAGATTCTTATTTTGATCTTGCAGTAATCTGAATAAAATATTACTCTTCCAATCTGACTGAAACATGAAATTACCCTGAGAACCAACTATTTTCCGATATAGATGCCTAACATGCTACCTGCTCTTAAGATTGTTGCCTGCTTTCTCGACTTAAAGATCTCATCTAATGCATCTTGTACCCTAAACATTGCTTCCATAATCCCAAAATCATCCATCCATTTTCTTACACGCTTGTCCCGAGTGGGGTCGTGAGGGGTGCTGGTGCCTATCTCCAGCAGTCAATGGGCGAGAGGCGGGGTTCCCTAATCACTGAAAGCTAATTTTTCTGCAGAAATAAGGACAAATATAGTGGGAACCGATACATTCCTTATAATATTATCACCATCCTTTGACTCTTGTCTTTGAATCTAAATCCATTTAAATAAATACTGATCAAGTTTGACCTGAAACAGCCTCCATGTAAAACCTTTGGGAAAAAAGTCATCTGTCACAATGAAATGATGATATCTAAGGTATTTTTAATGATGTCCAATGTCTAAACTGGTTACACTTCAACCAATCGAGATGAAAGGTTTTAAGAGTTTTTGACAAATACTGAAGCCCTGTTTGTTTTGTAAATGTTCCCGGGAGAAAGTCTTTACTCTGAAAGTTTGCACACCACAAGATTTCTATAACCATGTAGTTTGAAGAGATGAGAACAAATTTTGGGATGTTTGGCTAGAAAACGCATAACTACATTCTGTAAAAACAAACCCAGAGTTTAATCCTAAAAACATAAAAACCTTCAAACTGTCAGGAAGAGGGAGCGAGATCTGAAGACGTGGGATTATTTTCCCACCGCAAACCCGGGTACACTGCAGTCATTGAGCCAATCAGAAATTCAACTGATCTTAGTATCGTGAGGTTACATGTAAGTGTCTGACAGCTGAGGCAATGGGTCATAGAAATGGATTTTGATCTGCAGCAGAATTACTGAAATGGAAAGAAATAAAGTGTTGAAACAGACGAAATTCAAGACTTCTACCAATGGGTGAAAGAGTCTGCCAGAACAGTCTGAGAAGATGATAGATCAGAGAGAAGACAAGATTTTACTAAAGCTGGTTTGACAAGCCTCTGAATCCCTCTACATTTTCTCTTTTTGTTTGTTTCAATAATATATGCACCTTTGAAGAGCATATAGAAAGCCTGTTTTATCAACATAAAGTCAGTTAAAATTATGCAGTATTGATCCGGTCAGGTAATAGGACCAGGGTTTAGGGTTTACTTATTTTCCTTAATTATATGAAAATGAATGGTTTTATGGGTGAAGGCCACCTACATTTTTCCATTCTCACTTTTTCTGGCTGCTTTTTGTAGTTTTTTTTTATTTGACCAGGGTCAGTGTCACTGCTGACAGCATGAAGCGATACCTGGACCCTACAGAGGCTGCACAGGTAGTCCAACATGGCCACTACGATAGCACATTAATACGTTTTCTGTGTCTTCCAACAGTCTCATGAGCATGGAAGATCCCAAGAGACACAGCATGATCAGAAGGGCCTGTGCTCACTGCCTGTCATATCCAGGACACAGAAAGAGGAGTATTTGGCCAATATTCAAAGTACTATGTGAGAACTAACACTGCAAATTACTCTGAACACACTGTCTCCATGGGGAAGCAGAGTTTTGGCAGCATCTTGTAGTAAGGAAGCTTTTCTCCAGTGAACAGAAAAGCTGAAAGTTAGTGTGAAGATGGATGAGGCTAAATAAAGGGCAGTGGAAGAAACGCAGCAAGAGATTTGGGAATGGGGCGCAAACATACGGATAGAGTCACAGTGGAATGGTAAGGTCAATGCTCTCTAAGTGCTTCACAGAGAGCGCCCAAACTGCCGAGCTGATAGTAACCGGGGCCTCTTTTCTCCAAAATTATTTTCTTTTTACCTTCTCAGCATACATAACATTTTTACTTTTTTGTACAAAAAAAAGAAATGAAAAAATGTAGCTCTGAAAAGGATTAGATGTATGTCTTCGCTAAAGATAAGATGCACGTTCCTGACATACTGTACCTCTGTAACTAACATTTTCATCTGTTTGTTGTAAAACCAAATTTGAAATACTGCAATGAAGCTGTAATTTTTATCTTCTGGGTTATAACAAATAATAACCAAATATTGCAATGTCCTAGTCAAAGTATAAACATAAATCTAATTCAGATTATTTGATAAGATTTCCATTCCATTCTGTAAAGAAAAATTGGCAAAATAAAAAGTTTGTGCCACATGTATTTTTTACTGCTGCCTTGCAGCAAGAAGGTTCTGGGTTAGATTCCCGGCCTGGGGTCTTTCTGCATGGAGTTTGCATGTTCTCCCTGAGCATGCGTGGGTTCTCTCCGGGTACTCCGGCTTCCTCCCACAGTCCAAAAACATGACGAGGTTAATTGGCTTCTCTAAATTGTCCTTAGGTGTAAGTGTGTGCATGAATGGTTGTGTGTCTCTGTGTTGCCCTGTGATGGACTGGCAACCTGTCCAGGGTGTACCCCGCCTCTCGCCCATTGACTGCTGGAGAAACCAGCACCCGAGAAACCGACCCCACTCGGAACAAACGTGTCGATGCTGATTTTTTAGAATCTTCTAAAAACACATTCGTTTTCCTTGGCCTTCGACCCAGTGTGCCTTTTTGCTAGAATTGTATTCCTCTGTGTTTTATACTTGAATTCTTCCCAAATGTCGTCATTTTAATGTTTATCTTAATTTTTTCTTTTTTGTTCAGGACTTTATTAACAACCTGTTTCCATGTTGTTTCTATGTGTTTTATAAAATGAATTACTCTTGACCTGATTTACTTGACCTTCCTGTCACACAAGGTCAAAATAAAAAGTTTAAAAGTTTTTATCTGAAATTTGGAACGAAAACGAAAGTGATACATAATTTTGGAGGAGAATACAGCTATAGCTGAGAATCCTGTTGTAGTCTTATTATGTATCTTAACTTCTAATGCAGCGAATCAAAGTAATCTAACTGTATCTGATGAGCTAATCAGATTATTTTCGAAAATTAAAGCGTCACCTTATCCTCTCAACCATCACACATTATGGTTACATTCTCTCTAGTCAGACATTTTTAATGCTATCCGAACCCTGATTATTTCTTTCCAGCTAATCCAACCCAGAGTTAAGAGGAATTTAGATGTTCACTTTGGAATCAATGTAATTGCTTCAGCAAAAAGCTGAATGTGAACACAAATCAAGGGTTTATTAAGATTTATTACCACCTGAAACAGGCACCAGTGACAAGTCATAAAACTATTTTAAGGGAGACTTATTGAGGGTGTGGTGTTTGTTCCAGTTAAAGCCTTTTTTAATGATTCATAGATCATGTGATTGTTACAGATTACTCAGTTTGCCCTGAATACTTTTCAAATGTTACAAAGAAAAAAAACCATTACAAATGTTTTTGTACAAAGCTTAATTACAAAGCCTAAACTCTTATTGAGATTATTTTTTTATTATTGGAACATTTAAGTGATACTTCTCTCTAATTTGTCCCCCCATGACCTTCCTCTGGT